CACTACAGTCCCTGGGCTATATTTCTGCACTGCCTTCCCATAATCCCAAACTCTAGCATACTGTTCAGAAGCAGAGCCATATATCATGAATTTAGCCCTACCCCTGGCTAACCATGCCTTGTAGTACCCAATCTTAATGCCCAAGTCACTCAAAACCCTATCCCTAAAGCTGTTTATCTTCCAACTAGGGTTGTTTCTCCACTCTTCCACATATCTCTCAGCCAAGTACTCTGCTGTAACATTGGCATTCATGTTGCTCCTCATACAATTGTGTTCCAACTTCAAATCTTGGATTTGCCAAGCACTACTCTTGAACAAAGGCCTTGCAATGACCTTATACTTGCACCTCCTCACTTCCTCACTGCACTTACAAATAGGAAGCTTACTCCTCTTTGAATCCCATTCACAACCACATCTCTTCCTGCAGAAAGTGGTTAACTTCTCTTTGTTGTTGTGTAGAAAATAGAACTCATATCTATTTTCAATTGCATGAGTTCTTAGTGCTTTCCTAAGCACCAAAATGTTAGTGAACTTCTGATTTTTCACCAACACAACAGGTTTCTTGAAATCTGTATCCTCCCTAAACCAAGGACTGTCATCTATGTCCTCATCAGAACCATGCTCACTTCTCAGCTCATCATCATCAGTTTCTTCTTCATGAAGCTGTACTTCACCCTGCCCTAGATCTTTCACCAGTTGATCCAACTTCTGCTTACTCCCCTGCCCTGAACACCCAGGATGAACCAAGGCCAAACTCTTTTCCACCTCACCTAGGATGTTAGCAGTGCTCTCACCCAATCCCTCATCTTCAGAATAACCCTCTTCCTCCTCACCTGGATTCCAATCTGTGTCTATGTCACTTAAGTCCTCACTAGAAGAACCTGAATCACTCTCCTCATCATCAATGAACAGCTTCCTTTGTGCCTTACCCTTCCCTTTCCCCTCTGATTTGGCTATCCTCTTTCCCAACCCAGCAGCTTCACTCAGCTTCCCTTTCCCTTTATCATTTCCCACCCTCAATTCACTTCCTGAGGAAAACCTAGGACTCCTCCTCACTAATGGCTCCTCATCATCAATGAACAGCTTCCTTTGTGCCTTACCCTTCCCTTTCCCCTCTGATTTGGCTATCCTCTTTCCCAACCCAGCAGCTTCACTCAGCTTCCCTTTCCCTTTATCATTTCCCACCCTCAATTCACTTCCTGAGGAAAACCTAGGACTCCTCCTCACTAATGGCTCACTAACTGCACTACAAGTTTCTGTTAATGGGTTGGACTGTTGCCACCTAGGGCTCCTCCTCAAAACTAATGAAGTACAAGCTTTTTTGAGAGTGTGTTGCTCCTCCTCAACAGTGTTATCAAGCTCATCCATTTGAGATTCTACAAATGAAGGAATAAACAATCTAATTAACCAATTTTCTATATCACAAACAACAATTGTTCATTGGGAATTGAAGAGGGGGGAACGAGCAGACATCGAACGTTAGAGTGAAGTGAAGCACGCATGTAGGGCAGGAACGAAAAAGATAACCTAGCGAGTAAAAACATCAACTGTAACATGCATTACCCTACACCAATTACCATAAAGCAACAACACAAATACCCTAACACATGCATTTGTAACATTCAATTATAAATCAATTTCAATTAAATTGATACTTTAATCCAAACACAGTAATCTAGGGTTTAATTAATTTTTTCCAAAAATACCCACAAATTTCATCAAAATTGCGCAACAAACCATTAATGGACAGTACAAAAAGTTGGGGAACTCATACATGTTCGTTGTCAGAAGAATCTCCCACTTCTTTCAATGGAGATGACGACTCCAAGATTGACCTTTCCCAGAAGCTTGCTGATGTGTGCTTTGAGTCAATTGCAGAGGTACAATGAAAACAAAAAAAAAAAAAATTACAGCCTAGCAATTGACAGTGGAGAGAGAAAGAAAACGTGGTTGAATTTGGGCAATGGAGTTATTGCATGTGGTTGAGCATTTGATTATGGAGGAACAGGGCAAAGAGAGACAAAGAGAGTAAAATGGAGGGAATTGAATGAGAATCGAAGAGAGAGAAAGAACAAAGGGAGGGAAGTTTGGTAGCTGGGGCCCACAAACGGCAAATCAGACGGAATAGTAACGGAGGTACTGAAACCTATACTTTTGTCATTTTGGAGGTACTAATTTAAAAAAAAAAATTAGATGGGTACTAAAATTCAATTACCCCCAATTTTGAGGTACTAAAATTCAAATTTTCCTATATAAAATCTATTTGTTGTATTTGCACGGTCTTCAATGTGTTTCTTTGACTACTACTATCTTTGACATATATAAGTGAAAAATTATAAAAAGTTGATATTTGAAAAATATAAACTAAGATGAGTTAAACTTTCAAGAACAGAGACAGTATATCATAAAGAGTAACGAAAGAGGAAGAGTATATTTACTCTCTCTTATTCTACCTAACGTTTTCAAAGTTGAAGGGAATATATCTACTCTCTCTTCGTCTTCTACCTAATGTTTTTAAACTTTAATACTTACTCTCTCTTATTCTTCTTAACTTTTAAGAATGGATGGAGTATTTTACTTCGTATATCATACGAACTTACTTAATATTATTATTAGAGTATAGTGCAAATCCTTTTTTTTTTTTTTTTTTTTTTTTATACTGCAACTAGGAGGAGAAAATTTAAATTTTCAAAGTCGAAGATATTATTATTTATTACAACTTTACAAGTACGTAGTATAAAGTACTTTTGAATCCGCCAAAAATTTGCATAATTGCATTGATCTGTAAACGATAAACACGAAAAAACTCTTTATCACATGCCTTTGATTAGGATGACCCATTGCAGTCTGCAAGTAAGTAAAAAGTATAAAAGTAAGATTCTTGCTTTATAAAAATAAAAAAAATCTAATTCTTTTTTTTTTTTTTTTTTTTTTTTTTATTTCTTCATTTTACGATAAGGAGAAGGACCCTTATCGAAACTTAGGGTCTGTTCTCATTGACTGAACTCAGCTGAACTGAACTGAACTGAGCTGAACTAAACTGAACTAAACTGAGCTGAACTGAACTGAATTGAATATTTTATAAGAGAAGGAAATTAGGAGCTGAACTGAACTGAACTGAACTGAATTTCAATGTAAGAGAACAAACCCTTAACCCTTACAGTTTTTTTAGTATGATATTTGCGAATCAAACACTTTAAAAGTAAGGGGAAAATGATAAAGAATCTCCACCCTCAAATTGTCTCTAATAGAGATTAAACCTCCAACCTCAAAGTTAAAACGTATAATATTTTCTACTAGATCAAGCTTAGGGTCTGTTCACATTTACTTAATTTCAGTTCAGTTCAGCTCCAATCAGTTCAGTTCAACTCTTAATTTATCTCTCTCATAAAATATTCATTTCAGCTCAATTCAATTCAGTTCAGTTCAGTTCAGCTCCAATCAGTTCAGTTCAGCTCAATTCATTAAATGTGAGCAGCCCCTTAACTTGGTATACATATGGGTATAATACGTACGACTATATGAGTATATTACGGTGTACCAACTACTCGTATTATTATACTCCCTCCGTTTTTAAATACTTGCTCCATTTCTCTATGCGCGGAGTTTTAGGAGAAATTGGAGAAAGTAATAAATATAAAGGTAGTGGGGTAGTTGAGAAAATAAAAAAATTGTAAAAAGCAAAAGTAGTGGAAGAATAGGAGGAGAGAGGGTATTATGTTAGGTCCACCAAGTGTGAGAAATGAATTAAATATTGTAAAAGGTTTCCAAAAATGGAAATGGAACAAGTATTTAAAAACGGCCGAAAAAGGAAAGTGGAGCAAGTATTTAAAAACGGATGGAGTATGAAGTTTAAATAGAGTATAATCTTTTTGTCCAAGCTAAGAATAATTGATTCAAAGTATATTTTTTTTTATTTTAACAAAGTACTACGGAGTAGAATCGTTTTTTAAAGTGGCCCATAAACACATACGATAACGTAAAACTTTGATCAATAATTTGTTTAATTATCAATACATATAAATTATTATAATTGAGACAATTCAACAAGTACATACCCATAACACTATGTATTTTTTTTTCTTTAAAAAATAAAATGATATGATTAGATCAAATTAGACCAAATCACATCTTAACCTTTTTTTTTTTTTTTATAATTTATGTGTATTATTTATTTTTATATTTGAAAGTACATATTAATACGAATATAATAGCATCTCGTTTGATGTTTTTTTTATCTTACGAATTATTGTACTAATTAAATTAGGATAGAAATTAGTTCAATCAAAAAATCATATTAGAGCAGACTAGATCAAACCAAATAATTAGATCATGTAAATTGAACTTAACCAAATTGAATCAGAAAAACTGTGAGGGTCATGGTCCGATCAAGTTCCTTCTGATTGATTACCTTACAAAAAATTGTCATGCATTTTTTTTACAAGTGTTAAATCTTACTCCTTTGTTTTAAAATACTTTACTCCACTTTACATTTTCGGTCGTTTTTAATACTTGCTCTATATCCTTATTTGAAAAGTTTTTACTACAATATTTAATTCATTTATCTCAACTAATGAGTCCAACCTAAATCATAATTCATCCGAATCTTTTTAGTTGACGCATTCAATTTAGACACACGTGTTAAGAAAATTAAAGGAGAGAAAATGATAAAACAAGTGGGATACACTTAAAAAACAAGGTATAAAACTTATTTAAAAAAACGTGTCAATCAACTAAAAGTAAACTTCCTAAAAAAGAATACATATCAACTAAAAAAACGGAAGTAAGTATATTTTATTAAAATCTTATTATTTCTCTTTCAATTCTCTCAACTACTCTACTTTTTGCATTTTTTTTTAAATTTTCCCATTTACTCCACTACCTCCATATTTTATTATTTTTTCAATATAAGCTCAAATTCCGCACATAAAAAGATAAAATAAGTATTTAAAAACGGAGGGAGTAATTCACCACCACCCCTTGTCCCTCTCAGTAGTATTTATACTACGAAGTATCTCATATTTTCTCCATATTTAATCCTCAAAATCTAAAGACTTCGTAGTCAATTATATTAGCCTCCCTCGTTGCTACGTTCAACTTCGATTTCTTCATCGTTGGTTAGCCTTAATTCTCTTGTTCTTATTCATTCAATACTACAAATATACTTGTTTTTCAAGTTTAAAGTGTATTGTAGTAAGTTGGGATATAAAGGGGTTAACTAATTGTCTTACTAACCAAGATTTGAAACTCGATCTAAAAGTGTACAAAAGAATTGTCATTTTATATTTTTGATTTGCATATGCTTAGAATATTTACATAACAATATTAAATCTAGATTATTGATAGTCACTCCATATTATATTATTCCCTCTATATTTTGATATGGTATACTATACTCATTCCATTTTTGTAAAAACGGACATAACATGTCGTCAAATACGTCAACCGTTGATTAAAGTATGAACTAAATCAATCAACAATATTTTTAGTGTTATATTTCCATTTTTGACACGCTATTAATTACATTTAACAACCTGCATCGTTTTCTCATATTATCGCTCTCTAGAGTGAGAGATAGCTAAAGTGGTTAAAACTTTCCGTTCAACCATTGCATGCAGGAAAATGGACACCGACCTAATTCCACAGTTTTACCAACCCGAAACAATGGAACAAGTCGTTGCATCCTTTGATGAACAACTAGCTGGTGTACTACTCGGTGATGACGACTTCTCTTATCCTCTCTCAGTCGACAGCAACACCTTTTATCCTCAATGGGATATTGGTTCCGACCTCCTCCTCGACCAAATCATTACGCCGCCTTGTTATGCTTCCGCTATCAACGACGACGACAACAACAACAGCAACAATAATGAAAGTGTGGAGACTTTGATAGGCTCGGGTGTAGTCGAAGAGCCGAGATGGTTGAAGAAGCGCAAGGATGAGAGCGCCGAGAAGCAAGCAGCGAGTAGTGGAGGTAGGCCGAGGAGGAAAAGACAAGCAACTCAAGTGTATGATCACATCTTGGCTGAGAGGAAACGACGGGAAGTTCTTAGCCATATGTTCATTTCACTGTCATCCATGGTTCCTGGTCTTAAGAAGGTACTCCCTAGTATTACCTTGTTTTGTCCAATCCCTTCTCAGTTCTCACTCTATGGTGTCGTGTGGTGTACAGTGTACTACTTTCCAAGTTTCCAATTGTGACTTTATGCAATCACTTTTGTTTTCCCTTTTTATCCTTTACAATTGCATGGTCTTATTAAATTCATCACTCTTGTTTGACCATATAATACTCCGTATGATTTATATGTTAAGCAAAATATTGTCATATGGAATCTCGTTGGAATCGTGAAATAAAATTACTTTCATAATATCAACTTTTTATAAGTTTTACTCTTACGATTATAAATATTTAACATTTAAAATGTTCTTTGAAATGCGTAATTTTATCCTTGTTGCAATATTAATAGACAGAGAAGTATGATTTATGATGGATCCACTAGGTTTCCAAATAAAGTAATGAAATAAGTATTTAAAAAACGGCCAAAAATGTAAAGTAAAGCAAGTATTAAAAACAAAGGGAATATAAAATAAATAAAACACATATTAACATTATAAGATTTTAAACTTATTTCTTGTTTTTTTAAAAAAAAATTGTAACAATTTGACTTTTACACTATTAATGTGTTTCACTTTGACGGGCTATATTTAAATAAAAATATAGTAGTCGTGTGAGATTTTGTTAGATTCATCTCGTTTTATATAATAATTTAAATATCAAATGTTTATAATTTTTACATATTGGTAATTAAATATACTAGTATTAACGATTATAAACATACATCGACAAGCGTACAAAGAGAATTGTTGCAACTATAAAAAAAAAGGAAATAATAATAATATTGGGACAATCATTAAAATATGTTTATTTGTTTAGGCTTTTCCAATATTAACTCTTAGAAATTAAGAATGATTATACTAAGGACATGTTCTGATAAACTGAATCAAGCTGAACTAGCTAAATTGTTTATAAGAGAAGAAAATTAGGAATCAAACTAAATTGAATTAAAATTAAGCTGAAGAAATTAGGTCTTAAGTGTAACGTTATATGTATATGTATATTTGACAGATGGATAAAACAACGATCTTAGGAGGCGCAATCAAACACATGAAACAACTTCAAGAGAAAGTAAATCAACTTGAAGTGGCTGCTGCTGAACTAAATACTACCAAGTCTATGGTGGTGGTTAAGAAATATAAATTGCCATCAACAAACGATGACAATGACAATGACGACGATGATGAAAATGGTTCTTCCTCTACTCTTGTCGACAGCATTAGTGCTAGTTGTGGCAGTGGCAATGGTGGCTTCAGTGGCAATGATGGTAGTGACAACAATAATGGAGAAAATCTTATTAATAAGAATTCACTCCTAGAAATTGAAGTTAAGATATCAGATAATACCCTTCTCTTAAAAGTATACTGTGAAAAACGTAAAGATATTATATCTGAGTTGATTGCAGTAGTGGACAAGCATGAGTTGAGCATTACTAATTGCGGTGTCATACCATTTGGAAACTTGACCCTAGACATTACCATTGTTGCAAAGGTATTTCTCCTTCTTATCTTACCAACTGGAAATATGAGAAAAATCTATTTTAGAATTAGAATGAGTTTGGTGAGATTCGACCCCCTAGTTTTAAGCCTGAAAGCCGAAAAATTAACCAATTACTTTAGCCTCTTATTTCAAACATTAAATGATTAATATGGACCTAGTAGTAAAGTGATAATAAAAAATATATGCAGGTATGACATACTCCATCAATTTTCACGTGGTTTGTTTCATTACTTTTAAATACTTTTAAAAAGTTAATAATTGGGTCCCTTAAAAAAAAAAAAGTTTTAATCATTGGGTGAATTGAGTTTGGAAAATTTTATACTCAGTACTAGTGTAAATTTTTTCACTTGTGTCACATAATTAAACTTTGTTTGATTTCCTGCTTTAAATTATGCAGATGAAAGAAGGCTTTAACAACAATGTGAAAGGTTTTGTCAGGAGTCTTCGCTCTGCCCTAGAGTCCACTAGTCCCCAACGTCAAGCATCAGAAATTCAGAATGAAGATTGTGATGCATAGCTTGAAAAAGCTGGTTCGTCTTTTAAGTATTCCAGGGATGGGCCAACATACCCAGGTCATGGCCCGCCTTATTATGCTATGCCCATAAATTCTTAATGTCAATTGATGCATTTACCGAAAAAAGAATGGAGAGTGTTCTTTGTATTAAATTGTTGTCTTTGTTAAATATAGATTAATTGATCGATTTGGTTTCATTAATCCCGGGATGTTAAGCATGAATAAGATCGTGAATATTATCTTAGCACTTGCTTGCTCATCGTAAATTAGTACTTCGTAATATGTTCAAAATAAGACATAGGATGATAAGACGACAATGCTAGCATTATGGATAAGTGGATTCAAGCTAAGACTGTTTAGGGTCTAGTTTGTTTATAGATCCCCTCTTTTTTAAAATATTTGCTCCACTTTTTATTTGTGGTCATTTTAAATACTTATTCTATTTTCTTATTTGAAAAAACCTTTTATAATATTTAATTAATTTCTCTCATCTATTGGACCAAATATCAATCAAATTTTATTAATTTCATAGTCTTCCCTTCTAATTCTTTCCACTACTTTTGCTTTTTACAATTTTTTATTCTTCCACCAATCCCATTACTTCCATATTTTATTACTTTCTCCAAAAACTCCGTGCAGAGAAAATAGAGCAAGTATTTAAAAACAGAGGGAGTATCATGCTAGAAAAACAGGTTTTTATTTCATGATATCAATGAGGACTAGCTCATTTTTTCTCTGGCAAACATAAGGACATTGTCGTGAAATCAACGACTGGCCTGACCTTTGTTATGGTTGATATAGAATCCTATGATTATAAATGCTTTATAATTATATTGTGTGTTACTGGTCAAAACGTTTATTTATCTTCCTTCAATTCTCTGATTATAATTTCAATTGCAAATACTATCTCCGTTATATATTTAGTTATAATTTTGGAATACTTTATATCTCATAAATAATACCCCAAAACTTCATTTTCTCCAACAGTCCAATGTTGGAATTAATTAGGTTAGATATTTACCTATTTATTTTTTCTATAAAAGAAATTGTCTTTTTCTGAAAAAAAAAAACAAATTGCCTTCACAGAAACTAGGATGACATATTGGGCCATAGTGAACAATTTTTGAACCAAGTGTGTTGGTTAGGATTTCGGCCTACCCTTTAGATGGGCTTTTATTTTTGGTCCAACAGATAATAAAATGCTATCCTCCGTTTCGTAATAATTGTACCACTTTTTATTTTTACTAGGGCAACTAACGCGCGCGTTACGCGCGAAATGGCTAGCCTTTGCAACTTAATTCACTTGTCTTGTGTTTGCACTTCGCATGGAGGAATAAAAGATCGGTAAAGGAATATATTTCTATTGCTTAGGCATTGTTTGTTTGTAGTCGTCCTAAGTTAAATGTTACGTGTGAAATATCTCTTATATTGAATAAAATCTATCTTTATTATTATTTGTGTATGTGGTGATTCTTTTAAATGGAATACCATGTAGAGTTACAGTAGAATAAAATTCTTAGGTTTTTCAATGATCATGCAGAAAAGGAACAAATGTTAGAATTGTTGTTTGTTTATTTTCGCAGTGTGATATTAGCATTACTTAATTGTGGTGGTACAATACGAAATAGAAAAAGAATCATCAATGATGAAACTGAAAACGACCAATTCCTAATCCACCATAGAGGCTAACAATATTAGTCAATGAGTTCATCTCTAATCATTAACCCATAATAAAAATGGGAAGTTAGCAACAGTAACTTTTAAAGTTATTACACTTACACCCCCGAAATTAATGGAATTCCGAAATTGCCCTTTATTCTAATTGGTTGATGCTTGAGTACTTTGACTAATTGACTGCTTTCTCACCGACTTCCTTCTCTTTCCTCCTGAACGATTTCCGTAGATATTGCTTAATTATAAACTAATTCCCTAATTGCGTTGGTTTAAAAACTTATTCCCACGGTACCGTCCACGTAGGATTGGTACAAGGTTCATAATTTTTTTTTATTTTTTGGTTCAACATAGAACCGCTAACGGTGATAGCGGTTCTATACAGTAGAATCGTATAGAACCGCTAACACCATTAGCGGTTCTTAGATAATAACCGCTAAAGTCATTAGCGTTTCTTTTCTAATTTAATAATATCACACCTTTTTTTTGGAAAAATAATAACTTCACACCTATAAATCTATAATATTCTTACCAAGAACAAAACAAAGAAGAAGAGCAGTATCATCCAAACTCCAAGGCACGACCACTGGACTCCCTAGCGGCGACCACCAAACGCGACCACCACCGCAGCGGTGTACGGAGACATCTGTACGACCTCCACGGAAGCGGCAACACACATAATTTGTCCCAATTATATCTTACTACCATCAATTGTGAGAGGTTAGCCCTAATTTTCCCTTTTAATTTTTTTTTTCATTCATCATGTATATTGTAGTTTAATTTCTAAATTAATTTGATACTAGGTGTATGTATAGTGTAAATTTCTAAAATTTCATGGTGATAATGCAATATTTTTATGAGTATAATTTGGTGCTTTACTTAAGTGGTGGAATTTGTTCATGTGAGAGCTCTTTTCTAGTAATTTGGTTCTTTAAACAATATCATTGCATGCAACAATTCATTAATTTATGTATTCTTAATTTGGTTATCAAGTTATATATTTTAAATTGTGGTTTTGTGTAATTTGCATGCCAGTATTCTTTATTTAGAATATGGAGATGTCAAATTTCCCTCTACTCTGTTTTATGCGCGGGGAACTTGTAGAAACAGGAGGTGACGTGTCATGTATTGGCGGGGAGAATAGATTTTTGCTAGTCAGTAGTTCTATGGGTTTCTCGGAGGTTCTGAGTAAGATATATGAAGTTGCGGGGTGTGATTCTCGATATTTTGAGTTGAAGATGAGAATGAGGTATCCTACACACAACTCATGTGCAGCCATTCGGTTGAATGATGATAGCTCATTAAAAAACATGTGGGCTGTTGTACGACAATATTCAATGTCTAATATTCAATTGTATTTAGAATTTGTTCCCAAGCAAGCAAGTGTGGTAGATAACACGGGTTCTTTTCCTACCGTTCAATCTTTGTCGGGTATGGTCCCAAACTCGCCAGGTAGAATTCCTAATGAAGGGAGGGTATCATTTACAAGAATGCTTACTGATGATCATTATGTTGTTGATCATTTATCGGATGTGACTTCTCCAACACCCTCACCTCAATCAGGCTTTGCTTCCTTTGGTGATTATAATTCGTTACACCCCGAGCTAGATACTCTAGGTGATGATGTTATGGTGGATAGTGATGAGGGTGAAGATGATGATGTGAGAGAAGCTAATGAGATGCTTATTAAGGAAAGTGCACCAACACAGGATTTTAATAATGTTCCAGATGTAGACCCAAAAGTGCTTGATTCTTGGAGAACTTGGTCGGGGAACAACAACTTTTCTCTTCGGGGTGAGTTTACAGTTGGTCAAGAGTTTGATACTTTGCAGCAGTTAAAAGACGCTGTTAAACAGTATTCTATATCCAAAAATCAAACTTTTCGAGTGAAGGAAGTGCAACCTGAAAAATATGTTGTTGAGTGCATAAGAAAGGAAACGTGAAAATGTCCTTGGAGGTTGCGTGCAATCAAGTTACCAGCACTTCCCACATTTAGAATTGTGAAGTACGAAGGACCTCATGCAAGCACATGTGTTGGTGAAATTAATAATCTTGACCATCCCCTTTTATCGCCTGATTTTGTGTGTGGTGTTATACTTGATCTCATACGAGCCGACCCTTCTTTAAAAGTTTGTGCTATAGTGCAAGTTATTAAAGATCGATTTCGATATACCATAACATACAAGAGGGCTTGGTTAGCCAAGCAGAAGGCAATCACTACTATTTTTGGGGATTAGGATAAATCATATGAAGAGTTACCCAAATTTATGCAAGCTTTAAAAGAGTCAAATGAGGGTACAGTGGTTCATTGGTGTACGACACCAACATTAGACCCTTCTACTCATGTGTTCCAGAGAGTTTTTTGGGCATTCAAGCCATCTATTGATGGCTTTAACCATTGTCGCCCACTTATTACCATTGATGGTACCCATCTTTACGGAAAATACAAGGGGACACTTCTCATTGCCATGGACACAGATGCTAATTTTCAGTTGTTTCCTCTTGCTTTTGCCGTTGTTGAAGGTGAGACGGGTGATGCATGGGAATGGTTCATGTTGTGCATACGACAATTTGTTACTCAAAGAAAGGGTCTTTGTGTCATTTCAGATAGGCATGCCTCGATTTTGAAAACAATGACCGCTGTTGGCAGTGGATGGGAAGAACCACATGCTCATCACAGGTTTTGTATTCGTCATCTAGCCTCAAATTTCAACTCCAAATTTAAGAATGCTCACTTGAAAAACCTACTTGGTCGTGCCGCGGATGCACGTCAAAAGAATAAGTTCATACACTACTTTAACAAGATTGGTGAATTGAAATTAGAAGCATGTGAATGGTTGGCAGAGAAGCCATTGTATAAGTGGTCAATCTATCATGATGGTGGTTTTAGGTACGGTATACAAACCACAAATATGTCAGAGTGCTTCAATGGGGTAATGAAAGGAGCTCGTTTTTTACCTATTACTGCTCTAGTTAAAATGACGTTCTATAGAGTGAATTTTACTTTGTGACTAGGCGTGGTTGGGGTAAAAGAAGACTGCAAGAAGGTTATGAGTACAGTGAAAAGGCATTGAAAACTATCGATGATAACTTAAAAAAATCAGCAGCACATAAGGTTGATCCTTTTGATTATGAGAAGGGCTTGTTTGCAGTTGAAACTGGTTGTGGTAATCGAGCTTCTGGAAAAGGTGGTCATGTTCATACTGTGAACCTATCTAAAAGGACTTGTATATGTCAAAAATTGACCATCTATAAGCTTCCATGCTCTCATGTTTTAGCTGTTTGTCGGCATCGAAGCTTATCATATGCTGATTTTGTTGACCCTTTCTTCAGAACAACAGAGTATAGGGACACTTATAAGAATACTTTCATGCCTGTACCTGATGTTTCGAGATGGCCTCCATATGTTGGCCCTAAAATTTTTGCTCCACCTACTCAAAAGCGCGCCCCTAGACGCACCCCTTCAAGTAGGTTTCGAAATGAGATGGATGAAAAGATACGAGCAAAAAAGCAATGCAGAATATGTCATTTTAGAGGGCATAACAAGACCACTTGTAGATATAGGAATAGTAGTCAAATTTCGGGGTAAATCAATTTTATTTATTTTTAGTAGTTTACATTAGTCGGCATGCTTGTGTTTAACATTCAATTGTAATTATACAATATGCTAACCTGTTTGCATTTATTTTGAATTCAGGTCAAATGGTCCACTCGGGCCCCCTTGACCATTCCGTTCTTATTTACCAGGAGGATCATAGGAGTGAGGATGTGTGGAAAGGAGTAACACGAGGAGATAAGGTATTTTCATGTAGGGAGAATTTATTTTCTTTGACTCGGAATTGGGTAGTAGATGATCGAATGCTAAGTTATGTTAAGCAAGCAGGCTTCTATGGAGTGCACAGACTACGATGTTCTGTAGGTCTTGATCGACCTCTCATTACCGCTTTGGTTGAGAGGTGGAGACAAGAAACGCATACATTCCACTTGGCAGTTGGTGAGGCAACTATTAATTTAGGGGATGTGGCCTGTTAGGGTTGCGAGTACACGGTGATGCTGTCATCGGATCCACTTCTCAAAAATGGTCTGCACTTGTAGAAGAATTGCTAGGAGTTATGCTAGGGGTTGATGATACAACTCAGAAGCCACCACTCAAGGGTTCTGCGCTCAGATTATCTTGGTTAAGGAAAAACTTCTCAAACTTATCCCCGGATGCTGATGACCTTACAGTGCAGAGATTTGCAAGAGCATATATACTTATGCTTATGGGATCTGTTTTGTTTACTGATAAGAGTGGTGATGTAGTTCAACTTATTTACTTACCACTTTTGACAGATCTTCATACAGCAGGAAACTATAGTTGGGGTAGTGCAACGCTTGCCTTTTTGTATAGGCAATTATGTCGAGCTTGTAGACGTGAGGCAAAGGAGATAGGAGGACCTTTGTTATTGCTTCAGTTATGGTCATGGGAGCATATACACATTGGTGTACCAACAATATCTCGACTTAGGCAGGCCGACAATAATCCTCCAGAGCAGCAACCTGAGGATGTAACAGATCCTCAGATACTTGGCTCTCAAATTATGAAGGGCATTGACCCTTTAGCATGCAGGTACATCTGATTCTAGTTATAGGTTCTGTCCCTTTTTTTTTTATATAAACTTGAGATTTATACTCTTATTTCAGTTGGTTACGTGTATACTTTACGCGCGTGGAATCAGCTAGCGGTGGCCTTTCATATTACAGGGATGCCTTGGATCACCAAAGTGATGATCAGGTATAATTTTCACAGAATGGTAGCTTCTCCTTTGCTTTCCTTTTTTTTCTTTTTTTTTTATTACTAGTTTTTTGTTGTCAGATGCTATGTATGTTTTAGCAATTTTTAATCTTAGAATTTCTGATAGTTTTAACAATTCTCTACTTTGACAGTAGGCTATAGGTCTTCTTATAGTTCACAAGATAAAGATTGATACATTTTAGTACAAACAATAAAATAGAAAATCAAAATACAATGCAAACTTCTTTATTTTAACATATTTTTAGTCCTTCAATTCTTATTTCTTAATGCAGATTCGGTATAGATTCTTATATGATTTCAGCATCATATGATCTATGATAAGTGCCAAACATGTTGGTGAACCCACTTAAAGAACAAAATGTTGCAATGCTAGTGTAGACACCCATTTGTGTCTCCCCAAAACCAAACCCAGTGATGAGTACCTTTCACGTCGAATCATAATCGAATGAAACGAAAGTGTGGAAAGGTCTAGTGTCACGGAAAGTTTTATTTCTTTTCTCTTCTCCCTGTTTTGAAAAACTTTATTTTAAGAAAATAGCCAATCTAGTTTGATTGGTCCATGATATGGGTCCAATAGTGGTGTAGTTGGATGGGGCTTGCAAAGAGCTTTCCAACGATATATTATAAGCCCAATTCCGATGAATATTGAGGAAGTTATGGCCAATTTACTAAACTGGGCCCGGTTTGAGCTTTATGTACGGCCCAATGATCTAGGGGAGGACCTAATATGATTTATCATTCCTAATGCAATTAGGAATGGTTTTAGTCTTCTAGAAGGTTCTTTTCATTCCTAATTTAATTAGCATTGATAAGTTGACTTTGTTGACTTTTCAGAGTTTTAATCAAGATCAAATAGCATTTTCGAAGGAATTATATTATTTTATCTTCTAGTACGGGAAATTTATCAGATTTTCAAAAACGCGTTGAAATGCAGTTTGGCGTCCAACCCCAGGCCTTGGCGCCCGGAACCAGGCTTGGCGCCAGGCGCTAGCCAGGGTTGGCGCCAATCCTGTTTTGCGATCTTCAGACTCTGTTTTGTTAAATTATCTTTTTTTGGATGATTTTCTCTATAAATATCGTATTAAAAACTCCGTTTTGATTCACCAATTTTCTACAATTCATCATCTACATTCACCAATTCTCTCATTCTCAAGTATTCTTTAGCATTCAGTTCTTTCTTGCTTTTTCATACAAAATTCCGCATTCACAAGATCTAGAAACACCTAGCCATATTCGAAGTTGCCTTCGCCCTAGGCGTGAAAGGTTTTAATTTATGAGGGTTTGGTCCCAAATCTCTATTTCAATTATTTAATTTAGTTGCTTTGTTTATTATTTTCCTTGAAGTTACTAACGTGTGTATTTTGTTATTAGAAAGAGGTACGAGGCATCAAAGTAAGTGCTTTAATGGTTTTAATTGATATTATGATGTAGAAATCATGTTTAGATTGTTATTATGATATTCCTAGTATCATGTCTAGGGTATTTTTTATATTAAATATGATTGCTATGATGCCTTCTATGTTCTTCCTAATATTTATGATTGTTAGTATCATGTTAGGGTTAAAGATTTGATTTTTATTGCCTTGTGACATGCTAGGGTTTGTTATTAATCTTGTTAGTATCATGCCTAGGATCTTGCTTTTATGCTTTAACATGAATGTTATTATTTTTATGATTATTATTATTATTCATGATGTTGATTATTTATTATGTTGCTTGATATTTTTTATTGCTTGATCACCCTTTATGTATGCTAAAGGGAATTGGTATTTGTAATCACGCTTAATAAGATATTTAATAATCTTGTTAGGGTTAATTGTGATTATAATTCAGGTGATCGTCAATGATAGTTTATGTGTGCATTAAATTCAACCAACATAGATTAAACAGGTTTAGGGTTAATCCTATTGATTGCATGTTAATCAGAAAGCGCACATGAATACGAGCAGAATAAAGTAGAGGCCTATTATTAGGGCAGGTTTAATCTCTTTTAGGTTGGATTTGTACCATCATCCCCGGACCCTTATTTGGTTCATGACCTTATGGAGTTGACGATCTCTTGGATCGTTAAGGGGTGTAACCTTCATCCTATGAACAGTTTACAAGTTCCTTAAAAAACTTGTTGGCGACTCTTTTGCTCTATCTTCTTCCCTTTTGGACGCCACCGTACTTTAGTGTATGATCACAGTGGGGTTCAAGCTAGTGGGATTAAAGGCTTGAAATTATTCCCTACAGTTTTTGGCGACTCTGCTGGGGAGGATTTCTATTTTAATTCCTGAATTTGTTTCGGCAATGATTTAGAATGAGTGGATGAGACTCGAAAAGTTCTAAGTATTTCATGTGCGTAATTTTGATTAACATTATTGTCATATGCATAAAAAGGTTCTCATTGGAAAGACCATCCGTAATGAGTCAAAAATATAGGATTTTACACGTAGGAAATTTGAGAAATGTCTTTCACAACTAGGATTGAAATAACACCGCGCGAAACTGGAAGATTTTATCGAGCACAGAAAGCTGCTGAGGCATGTGGGAAGTAGCGTCAGGGGCCAGAGCTTGGCGCCACACTTTTAGCCGTAGCGCCAGACGCCAGTATTGGCGCCAGGAGCTACAGTTGAAAGTTGGCGCCAGTCTCTGTTTGCTGGCGCCAGTCTCTGTTTGCTGGCGCCAATTTCCCCCAATACCGAGCCAGAAATATGCGTTCTAATTTCGACCGATTTTTCGTATTGTTTGCTCGATCCTACTTCCTGATTGAATTTTTTCTCACTTTTCTGAAACCCATATGTGTTCTACATATGGACATAACCCTCTGGAAATTCATGCTCCATCTACCCGATTGAACGCTCCTGGCAAAAAAGGGTATATCCGAGAATGTTGAATTCACCAAACCATGGAAGCGAGTTTTTCTAAAACTCGCGGTGTCCCATCCACTCGCGCCAACCCTTCACGGTTAGGCTTCCGCGCGGTGCATCCGGACAATTAACCATGGACCCTCTATTGACTAAACCATATCCCGAACTTTAGAGAACTAGAGCCATGGTTAGGTTGCAAACTCATTGCATCATATTGTGCCTACTTGACTAATTGTGCATTATTTGTTGTGCATATATATCCTATGTTTCTCTTAACCGTTTGTTGATTTGTGTTGAGATTAAAATTAATGACTTAAAGAACTTTGCCTAATTAATCAATTAATTAATTAATTAATTTGGGTCAATAAAGTTTTTTTTTATCGGAATTGACCTAGTACGACTTTAGGCATACCCCAGTTGACTAATAATACCGAAAACAGTCCCAGACCGAAGCTCCAATATTGGCGCCAAAGTCTGAGCTGTAGCGCCACATTATAGTGTGTAGCGCCAGACATTTACTAAATTGCCTAGCGCCAATCACCATAATGCGACGCCAGTCCTGTCGCTTGGCCGACAGTTCGGATTATTTGTCGAGTCATGTCTAATTAATCAGTTTTCTGTTTAATTCGGTTAATTTTGCTGACAAGAATGCTTAATTGAATTAATGTTCGAGTTTAAGCACTAAGTCCCATGGTCTTACACAAGAGTCCAAGCATGTCACCACACTCAATGCACACACCAATACACATATTTTGACCATGATTAAGAGAGTCTTGTGTGCGCGTTTTTTTTTTCCGTCATTTTTTGTAGGGGGTAAGTCGGATATTAATCCTCCAATAAATAATCCATCCTCCAATAAATAGTAATACATTATTCCCGTAAGTCGGATATTAATCCTCCAATAAATAATAATACTTAGTTCCCTAAAAATATGTACGTTTTTTTTAAAAAAAAAAAAAAAAAAGAAAAACCATAAAGTCAAGTTGATTCGAGTCAAGTAATTAAAATGCAAATTGGCTTAATTTACAGCGCGTGGTCAAGAAAGGAAGGACGATTAATCAAAGATAACCTCTTCGTACAAGTCCAACTTTTCGACAAACCTATAGCCCGCAAGAGGAAAGCAAGAGTTATAATGGCAACTCAAGAAGAAGTCAATGACCTCAAGAACCAACTGGCTACTGTAACTGAGACACTGAAGCTTCTCGCACTTAAGATCGATGATCCCGTGAAACAACAACAAATGGACCTCATGCAAGAGAGCCTAAGCAAGTTGTCCAGTGACTACAAGTTTCAAGAACTCACATCCCAAGGAGTCTCAGTGGATAAAGACCTTTTTCCGCAGAAGTTCAGCGCCAACGACATCCCAAAATTTAGGGCAATTGACAACCCTTACTTCCATTTAAGAGCATTTGAAACAATAATGAGTATCAAGGGTATCGATAAGACAGTCTTCCCTTCCCTGTTCTCACTATCTCTCGAGACCGTTTGCCAACAATGGTTATTTTCTCTCGAAAAGGAAAAGACCTCTACTTGGGATTCCATAGCAAACGCTTTCGTTGATAGGTAAAAATGCAACATTCAAGTCAAAACTGACCATAGAGAACTTGAAATCCTCAAACAGAAAGAGAATGAAGGCTTCACTGCTTTCTTTAACAAATGGAGAGAAACCTCAGCCAAAATGATCGAGGTACCAAGTGAAAAAGAGTCCGTAAAACTATTCATTAAAAATCTTCAAGAAAAATATTCCAAACATCTTAAATATCAAAATAACCTTCATACCTTTAAGGCTGTTTATGTTATTGGTATCAATATTGAAGATGACTTGGTTAAATCTAAAGTTGCCAACAATAACTCCAACGTGGATGGAAAGGAAAGAAGAACGACAATCCTTCTTCTTCCAAAACTGCCCACTCAAATAATGTTAGCACCTTTAATCTAGGAGAAGTCCTCGCCATGAACAACCAAGGACAAAGGAAACCATTTAGGAGGAACTTCACTCCTATTGGCATGAGTTATGACACCGCATTTGATCGATTAAATGCAAAAGGTCTTATAACTCCCATTGGACCATTCGGGGATCCACCAGTTGAGAAGAGGTCGCCTAACTGGAACCCCAACGCACACTGCAAATATCACCAAGGTAGGGGCCATTCTACTGAAAGCTGTTGGAAGCTTAAGGAAGCTATCCAAGACCTAATTGACAGTAACAAACTGTCGTTGCCCCTGCAAGTAGGAAGCCAAGTATTGACAATGCACCTCTAGCTCATACTTTGGCTATCTTCGATGAAGAAAGCGAAGTTAACCCCTCATGTCTCATTAAGCCTGTCAAAGCAACCAATGTCGAAGAAGGAAGAGAAGAGAAATTTTTCGATGTCAAAGATAGCCTTCCAGAACCAGCAAACAAGGAAGACATACAATTGCTCACACTGTTTATGAGGGAGACATCGCAAATATTACGTGAAACTCTCAAAGTTGTAAACGAACTTCACAAGAAATATGATGAACTTCCATGTCCAAAGGAAGAACCTAAAAGAGAATTCACACCAGTGAAAACGACTTATGAGGAAAAGTATTTTCCCTTACAAGTC